TGTTGGATGGTGGCTGCACTGGCTGGGGAAAGGCACGGCAATAATGGGAATTGGCTGATGGGATGCACGGTTGATGGGGGAGAATAAGGGGAGTTGCGGCTTAGGATGAATAATGGGATTGTAGTGACGGCTATGGGAGAATAATTAGAACGCTTAGGGTTTGGATGATGGATGGGAGATGCGGCTTAGAGAAAAATATGTGAATGTTGAAGTCCCCATATGGTGCGGCTGCATGGGGAAATATGAATGAATGGAATCAAAAATTGCGGCTGCTAGCTTTTTTTGTCAATATGTGGCTGAATGGTTTAAAAATATGAATGCATGCAATGAATTAGGTCGGCTAGGTGATGCGAACTAATTAAGCACACAAATTTAAAACCCTCTTGTGACAATTGTAGTAAAGATGCAAGTAGGGATCGTTCTAGACCGGGGATTAGGAGGGATTACTAAATCACTTGGACACTGACTCAAAAACGTAAAACAAACGTTAAAAACACTAAACTAGACTCAAAGAATGCAAAACTAAACAATAAAACACTAAAACAAACCAAAAGACTCAAAGAATACAAAACACTTATAAACACAAACTAAGACACTTTCTAACTAAATTGGACACTAAAGTAAAGGGGGTTTGAGATTTTTACGAAAATAAATCAAATGCACAAATTGTAATTTAAAGGCAGAACTTAAATATGAATGTGATGAAATATGGAATGAATGCTAGCTAGAAGGTTCTTCTCCACACATGTCACACTTGCATACAAAATGACTTTAAGTTGGTCTTTCGATAAATTATGGAACTCGACACTCCAAGTTAATTAGGTCCGCTTAAATTAACCTTCAAATTTCCCTAGAATCATTGAATTGGATGAATATGCATCGCAAACAAATTATTCCTAACAAGTTTTCTATATGAATAGCATGATAAAGATACAAGTTAGAATCATTACGTTCTTTGGAAATTATAAGCATCGACAAGGCATTTGTAACTATGAAAAGCATGATACTCTTGCCAGGAATTCAATTAACGCGATTGTTTATAAGCAACCTCCACTACTTGTGAATATAAGTTCATAACTATTAGGTGAAACTCACTTATATTCTAGCGTCAAATTCATGCATGAACATTAAGCGTGCACTCTCAATAAACATACACAAACAAGTTATCAATCAAACAGTTAAATGAATTGAATCCAACATTCATGAAATTCCAACCAAAAGTAATCAATTCATATTGCAAGTATAACCATGGTTTCGAATCACCCCCTAGCTAACTAGGGGGATTTAGCCTCTCATGTTCGCAAAAAGAGAAATACAATTGAATTTAAACATAAAGAACAAAGGATGGATTACACCTCGATAGCCCAACGAATCTACTTGAATTTCTGCGCGTCTAAGTCCTCTTTCCTCTTCTCCTTGCTGCGGCAGTGAGGTTAAATGAATGATTTGGATGTTATTTTGGGTTGGGGATGGATTTAGGGAGGATTGGTGGTGCGGCAAGGTGGTGGAGTGATGGGGGAAAGCTGGAATGGTCGCTGGAAGGTGGAGGAAAAGCTGCGGCAGTGATGGGAAAATGTGGAAGATGGCTGCGGCTGATTGTGAAAAATATGTGGAAGATGTCTTGCGGCAGCAAGGAATTATATGATATATTGGCTGATTATTGTATTAGGTTTAATATGGAGGAATTAGGGTGTGAATGGATGCACGGATTGATGGGAAAATATGGGAAAAAGTGGCTGAATAAAGAATGGAATGAATGGGATATGGTAAGGTGGCTGCGGCAATGGGATAAATTGGGAGAGAATGAGTGTTAGGGTATGGAATGCACGGTTTTGGAATGAATAATGGGAGAGAGTGCATGCGGCTAAAGGCCAAAAAAATGGGATAATGGGCTGCATAAAAAAATATGAATGAATGGGATATTAGCGGCTCATTTGGAATGGATGGATGCGGATTGAATTAGGGTGAATGGTTGATGGGGGGGGGGGCCACGGGCAGAGATGGGAGAAAAGGTATAAAGTGGCTGCATGATGTGAGAAAAAGGATGGGGTTTTGCGGCTAGGGTTAGGAAAATGTATGATTTCAGAAAACTAATCCTAGCTTATTTAAAATTAAATCAAAGGCTTACGAAAATAGGAAATTAAAACATAAATATAAAGGTGCGGCTAGGATAATTAGGGTGATTAGGGTCTTGGTTTTGTGTCCTAAAGTGCCTATAAGGCCATCAAAGTGGCTAGAAAATACGGACGTTTAAGTTTAGGAAAGGTTACCAAAACGGGAAACTTAGGGTTAACTTTCCTAAAATAGGAAGCCTTGTTTGAGTAGGATTCTTCGTTTTGGTAAGAATTCATCGTTGGCGTAGGAATTCGTCGTTTCTTCAAGTCTTCAACTCATTCATTCCTCTTTCGCTCCAAAAGACTCCAATTTGCATCTTCTTGCACACTTTGGCCTTATAATCTGAAAATACACAAAAGTGGCCTTAAACACTAAAACAACTAAGTAAACACAACATAAATGCACGAGAACAAGCTAATTAAGTCGCATGAATATGCTCCTATCACTAGGGTCCAACTAAAAGGGTACGGCTGAGATTATAATTAGGGTGATTAAGGTTAGGGTTTAAGTGAATGATATTGGACACAAATGCCCCCCCCTTGCACGGCAAGGGAAGGAAAAGAAAGTGCAAAGGCACGGCTTGGGCTTTAAAGTGGGCTAGGGCCTTGGTCTTGTGTACTAAAGTGTATACAAGGCCTACAAAGTGGCTAGAAAATACGGACGTTTAAGTTTAGGAAAGGTTACCAAAACGGGAAACTTAGGGTTAACTTTCCTACTTCAAGTAGGAAAGTTTGTTTGAGTAGGATTCCTCGTTTTGGTAAGAATTCATCGTTGGAGTAGGAATTCGTCGTTTCTTCAAATCTTCAACTCATTCATTCCTCTTTCGCTCCAAAAGACTCCAATTTGCATCTTCTTGCACACTTTGGACTTATAATCTGAAAATACACAAAAGTAGCCTTAAACACTAAAATAGCTAAGTAAACACAACATAAATGCACGAGAACAAGCTAATTAAGTCGCATGAATATGCTCCTATCAAATTCCCCCACACTTAACTTTTGCTAGTCCTCGAGCAAAACAAAACAACTAAACTAAACAAAACGAAACAAAACAAACAAAACATAACCTAAACCTTCCAACGTTTGCCTCAGGGATTTCCAATGAAACATGACATATCAAAGATCATTACTCACATAGCTTTTAGTCTTCCTTCCCCTCGAGCACATACTTAATCATAGTCACCATTCACTAGTTCGCATTTAATCAATTAAAACACATTTTGAAAGTAGTAACATGCCTTAGAGAATTCCCTCAATTCCTCACTAGTTATGCACTCAATTTTCACTCAGATTTTGTGACTACACACCCTACACTAGTTATATGTGAGAAGATTGATGTAAACATGAAAGACTAGTACTCACATACATTAGAACAAAGAGCACAATTTCTGGAGTAATTAAACATGTTTAGATATGATCTCATGAATGGAATGCTACTACTTAGATGCGAGAACCAGTGACACCATATGCTCATACCAAATTCAATCTCCACAATTGAAATGCACAACACTCAAGATAGAAGTCAAGGGTTGTAACGGGGCTTGGGGTATTGGCTAACAAGGAAAGGTAGGGATAAACAAAAGTTCTTTAAGCAATAGCAAGCAAAGTATTGAAATTAAGTTCTAGAATTCCCTTAGAATGCAGAAATCAACTTTTTGACAAATAGGGAAGATTCAAACAACTCTTAGGGCCTAATTCATTGTTTTGGGCCCTTACTTCAACAAACAATACTTTTCAACTCTTTTTTTTTTTTCACTTTTTTATTTTTTTTTTTTTTTTTTTTTTTTTTTTTTTTTTTTTGCAATTCTAGCCGTGCCTATGGCACATAACTCACCTCCATCATCCTTCCCCCACACTTATTTTCTGCAACACATTAATCAAAAGGAATTTATTGCTTACTATGCTTCAAGAACAAGGGTAAGGATGGTCCTATTCTAGGCTAGGTGAGGATGATGTGGGTTAACAAAGAACATGGCTAACACGGCTCAAGGGGGTTAAACTTAACCACAAAATGAGTGAAGGGCACATGGCTATTTGGCTTAGATGGTGGTCACTACACAACTTCATCTTGAATATGTGTTATGCAAATCAATAACATGCTTTGAATGAAATGGGCATGAGTTCTAGCATTTGGAACTAAGTGATGAAACGCCTTCTAAGTAGTAACCAAGCAATGAATAATGAGATCATGCAACGACTTTAGAAAACATTAATGCACAGATTTTAACTCTCCAAATAACGTTTAGGCTCAAGTCTCACCGGGATGTAGCGTTTGTTTAAGTTCCTTCCTTCAAGCATGTTACAAAAACTAATTTTTATCATTTGTGATTACATGTGAATTCGTAAACTATAACTACAAACAAGCATAAACCAAAGAGTATATCAAACGTCCATCCATGTTTGTAACTTTCTTTAACCATCATGCAATTAAAAACCAAATCCTCATCATTGTGTTGGAAGGTACCCTACGACACAAACAAACACACAAAAACAACTCTTTTTGGGTTTTTCAAAACAATTTTTCAAATTTTTATGGGATTTTCGGATTTTTAAGTCAACACACTCTAAAACACTCTAAAATGGCTTAAAAACACTTAAAAACAGTGGGAAACAAGTTTAGACATGTTAGGTGGTAAAACCCTACGAATTTCATGCAAAACTATATTAAAATAGAATGTTACCCCCCCACACTTAAACTAAACATTGTCCTCAATGTTTTAGACACAATAAAAAACATTACACAAAACATAAAGTAAGCAACAAAGGAAAGGGTTTAGGGACGCAAATCTGAGTGTGGAGCGATTCCCAAGTTCTTCCTTTGTTGATTGCATGGGTTGCCTCCCAAGTAGCGCTTTCTTTTACGTCTTGCAGCCGGACGACCTTCTTTTAATCTCCACTAGGGCTCACGGCATGGAATGGGATCTTCTCCACAACATGCCCTTCAACACTTCCATAATACGGCTCAATGAATGGGCGGGGATAATGATCCTCCCTGATGGTGGTGCTTCGGTTCCGAACATCCATGTAACTGCTCCCACCACCTTTAAATCGGTTGCTCACCTGCATCACAGAAAGTAACAACCTATTATTTGAAATGGGTATTGGAATTGGGCTTGGCAACTTACAAACATATTGTAGTGAAAGCTCAAAATCGGCAGCCCTATCAACAATGTCCCCATTTGAAGTTTCGGCCATATTGGGTGGTTGTAGGGCAATCACTCCAAGTTCTTCTCCACTGGTGGTGCTTGATACATCCTTCATGGTAAGTGTGGATCCTTTCGGCCCTTTGTCCTTATGCACATCTACAACAAAACAAGAATGACTATCGTTAGGATTCTTACTAGAGTCATAAACATTGAATTTAATTATTTCACCACCAAACTGCATTGTTAGTGCTCCCTTGGCCACATCGATCTTTGTTTGAGCTGTTTTCATGAACAGACGGCCTAGCAAGAGTGGCAATGATGGAGCATCGCTCGAATCCTCCATTTCTAAGACATAAAAATCTGCAGGAAAGATGAGATGATTGACCTGCACTAAAACATCCTCAAGGACTCCCTTGGGATAAACATTAGAACGATCGGCCAACTGAATTATAACACCATCTTGTTTTAACTCACCAAGGTTCATAGATGCATAAATGGAATATGGCATGACATTAATAGAAGCACCTAAATCTAACATGCATTGTTTAAATCTCATGTTTCCAATTGTGCATGGGATAGTAAAGCTCCCTGGATCCTTACATTTTGGAGGCAACTTTCGTTGCAAAACCGCAGATACATTTTCACTTACTTTCACAACTTCTTTGTTTGAAATCCTTTTCCTAGTTGTGCATAACTCTTTTAAAAACTTTGCATACCTGGGCACTTGCTTAATGGCATCAAGTAAAGGAATGTTTACTTGGACCTTCCTAAACGTCTCCAGAATGTCCTTCTCCTGGTCCTCCTTCTTTGTTTGCATGAACCTACTAGGAAAAGGCACATTGAAAGGAAAAACATTAGTCGGAACCGAATTTGACACATTCTTACCCTTTTTGGCCGAATTAGACAATTTGGAGTCATTTGAAACTTGCGGCAAGGGTGTTTCCACCTTTGCCGTGGGTTGGCTTGCTTTTTCCTCTTCAATTCTCCGTCTTTCATCCTCTTCGGGGCTTGATGGTGATGGTTTGGATGTAATGCCAACTTCCTTGCCACTTCTCAAGGTAATTGCGTTGGCCATTTCGAACCCTCCCTTTGGGTTTGGAATGGTTGAGCTTGGGAGTTGGCCTTGCTCACGAAACTTCCCCACAAAATCTGCAATCTGCCCAATTTGTCTCTCTAATTGCTCCACCCTATTATCTTGGTTTTGCATGGCTTTGGCTTGATTTTCTTGTCCCTGAGACAAATTCGTTAGTAACTTAAGAAGTGTATCATTATCTAAAGTGTTACCTGAACTTGTTTGGGCAGATTGTGGAGGTGCTTGTGTGGGGACGTATGGCTTGGTGAAGAAGCCCGGGGGTTGTTGCCTAAAGCCTCCTTGTTGTGGTGGTTGTTGGGGCTCCCTCCACTTGAAGTTCGGGTGGTCTCTCCAACCTGGATTATAAGTGTTCGAGTACGGATCGTTCCTTGGTTGGTTTTGGCCCTGAAATCCAATTGCGTTGGCGCTTTCCCATCCACCATTTTCTATGAGTTGTGGACACTTCTCAGAAGCATGTCCTTGGATCGAACACACCCCGCATACAATTGGTCCTTGCATCCTCATGCCTTCGGCCATCTGAGACACAATGGAAGTAAGATTAGCTAACTGTGAATGAATATCGGGGGTGGAACTTACCTCATGCACTTGCTGCCGTGGGGGTCCTCTTTGGCCTACTCCTTCGTATTGTTGAGTGTTCAACGCTCGGTTAGCAATCAACACCTTGGCATCCATGGGCGTCTTGTCCACCAATGCTCCACCCGCCGAGGCATCGAGCATTTGACGTTCGATAGGTAGGAGCCCCTCGTAGAAGTATTGCAGAAGCAACTCCTCCTTCATCTGATGCTGTGGACAAGAAGCAACAAGAGATTTAAAACGTTCGTAATACGTAGGAAAAGACTCACCATCTTCTTGCTGTATACCACTTATCCTTTTACGTAAAAGGATGATTCGAGAAGTTGGGAAGAACTTCTCCAAATATGCCCTCTTCATGCTTTCCCATGATGTGACGGTTCCGGGAGCTAGCTCGTACAACCAATCTTTGGCTTTGTCCATCAAAGAAAATGGAAAAGCCTTCATCTTCAATTAACTTCCGTCAACGTTGACGGGAGTCATGCTTAAGCACACCACCTCAAATTCCTTCAGGTGCTTATTCGGATCCTCCATGGCCAACCCATGGTATTTCGGAATATGGTGGAGCAAGCTTGACTTCAACTCGAACTCCTCTGTCTTCCCTTCGACAGGTGGGGGATATTGGATACACAAAGGTGCTGCATTACCCAATCCCGAAGCCGCAAGCTGCTTGAGTGTCCGGGTGTCCACGGCCATGACTTGTGGTTCTTCAAATACTCTTGCTGTGGGTTCCTCCTCCTCCTCTAGGACTTGTTCCTCGAGGTCAGATTCCGGGCTTGGTGGATTTGGTTCGTGTTGCTTCCTCGTCCGTCTCAAAGTCCTCTCAAAATCGCTGTCAAAGTCTGAGATATGCTCACGAATCGGTTGAGAACTCCGAGTCATACACTAGTACCTAAAACAAGGAAAACAAAACAAGGTCAGAATCTTTAACAAAAACTAAATTAAACAGAAAATAACAATCCAAGGGATTAGCAAAGTTGCTAATCCCCGGCAACGGCGCCAAAAATTTGATGCGAACTAAGTAAGCACACAAATTAAAACCCTCTTGTGACAATTGTAGTATATGAATAAGTAGGGATCGTTCTTAACCGGGGATTATGAGGGATTGCAAAATCACTTGGAAACTGACTAAAAAACGTAGAATAAAGTTTAAAACACTAAACTAGACTCAAAGAATGCAAAACTAAACAATAAAACACTAAAACAAATCAAAAGACTCAAAACAGCCCCAAAACACTCAAAACTGCCTTAAAAACACTTTGGTGAATTTGGACGAATTTATGTAATCAAATGAATCAAAACACTTATAAACACAAACTAAGACACTTTCTAACTAAATTGGACACTAAAGTAAAGGGGGATTGAGGTTTTGACGAAATTAAAATAAATGCACAGATTGTAATTTAAAGGCAGAATGTAAATATGAATGTGATGAAAATATGGATGAATGCTAGCTAGAAGGTTCTTCTCCACACATGTCACACTTGCATACAAGATGATTTTCGGTTGGTCTTTCGATGAATTATGAAACTCAACACCCCGGGTTAATTAGGTCCGCTTAAATTAACCGTCAAGTTTTCCTTAAGTTAATGAATTGGATGGGTTAGCGCAACGCAATTCAAAACATTCTCTAAAAGTCCTTTACGTGAAAAGCACAATAAAGATACAATCAAAGATCATTAAGCATCATGAAAACTATAAGTGTTGACGAGGCATTCGTTACTATGATGAGCATGAAACTAGTGCCAAGAATTCATTTAACGCGATTGTTTATAAGCAACCTCCACTACTTGTGAAAATAAGTTCATAACTATTAGGTGAAATTCACTTATATTCTAGCGTCATATTCATGCATGAAAATTAAGCGTGCACTCTCAATCAACATACATAAATAAGTTATCGATCAAGCAGTTAAACAAATTGAATTCACCATTCATGAAATTCCAACCAAAAGTAATCAATTCATATTGCAAGCATAAACATGGTTTCGAATCACCCCTAGCTAAATAGGGATTTAGCCTCTCATGTTCACGAAAAGAAAAATACAATTGAATTTAAACATAAAGCACAAAAGATTGATTACACCTAGAACGCCTAACGAATCCACGTGAATTTCGGCGCGTCCAAGCTCCTCTTTCTCCTTTCTTCTTGCTGCGGCAGTGAGGTTAAATGGTGTTGGTGGATGATTTGCGGGTTTAGGGATGGATTTATGGAGGTTGGGTGGTGCGGCAAGGTGGTGGAGTGATGGAGGAAGGATGGTATGGTGGCTGGAAGGGTGGAAGAAAGGTGCGGCTGTGTTGGATGGTGGCTGCACTGGCTGGGGAAAGGCACGGCAATAATGGGAATTGGCTGATGGGATGCACGGTTGATGGGGGAGAATAAGGGGAGTTGCAGCTTAGGATGAATAATGGGATTGTAGTGATGGCTATGGGAGAATAATTAGAAGGCTTAGGGTTTGGATGATGGATGGGAGATGCGGCTTAGAGAAAAATATGTGAATGTTGAAGTCCCCATATGGTGCGGCTGCATGGGGAAATATGAATGAATGGAATCAAAAATTGCGGCTGCTAGCTTTTTTTGTCAATATGTGGCTGAATGGTTTAAAAATATGAATGCATGCAATGAATTAGGTCGGCTAGGGTCCAACTAAAAGGGTACGGCTGAGATTATAATTAGGGTGATTAGGGTTAGGGTTTAAGTGAATGATATTGGACACAAATGCCCCCCCTTGCACGGCAAGGGAAGGAAAAGAAAGTGCAAAGGCACGGCTTGGGCTTTAAAGTGGGCTAGGGCCTTGGTCTTGTGTACTAAAGTGTATACAAGGCCTACAAAGTGGCTAGAAAATACGGACGTTTAAGTTTAGGAAAGGTTACCAAAACGGGAAACTTAGGGTTAACTTTCCTACTTCAAGTAGGAAAGTTTGTTTGAGTAGGATTCCTCGTTTTGGTAAGAATTCATCGTTGGAGTAGGAATTTGTCGTTTCTTCAAATCTTCAACTCATTCATTCCTCTTTCGCTCCAAAAGACTCCAATTTGCATCTTCTTGCACACTTTGGACTTATAATCTGAAAATACACAAAAGTAGCCTTAAACACTAAAATAGCTAAGTAAACACAACATAAATGCACGAGAACAAGCTAATTAAGTCGCATGAATATGCTCCTATCAAATTCCCCCACACTTAACTTTTGCTAGTCCTCGAATTTGAACAAGGGGATGCCCGAATTTGAACAAAGTAAGGAATGTCCGAAT